GACACTACGGGCGTCGGGGATCAAGGGACGATCTCCGGCCACCGTAAGCACGGGCCTGCGGTCGGCGAGTAAGGGCAGCTCGCCGCCCAACCAGAACTAGGCCCGAGCGTACGGCGCGTAGCGTTCCGCGCGCGCCTCAAAGAGCCATTAGACCACCACAGACGGGGCCCTAAAGGGCTGATGTTCAGCCGGGGTTGCGGGGTAAGCGCAATGAGGCACTGCGACCTCGGCACAGAGCAGGAGAAGGAACAGGGGGGTTTTTAGTCAGTAAGAGTCTGACACTCCCTCCTGCCCGGCCCTGGGCGGGAGAAGTCATTTGATGATTTTCCCCTCACAAAAAAAACCTTACAGAAAACCGGCGTTTAACAACCACAGCGTTGTTTCCCCGAGTGAGTGATGTTCCGGATGTCTAATCCTACACCTCCCATCACCGCTTTCCAATACCTTAATTTCCGAAACTACAATTTCCAGAAGGCAACGCACTCGTTACTCCTCTGGTGTTGCGCATGTCCATGGGCGGTGCTGATTGCTTACCATCTGGCTTCCGTCTGCTCGTTTGCCAACGTACCAATCACATTAAAAAGAAGATGTAGGTAACATGCAATTATTTTGGTTGTTTTTATGTTAGAATCTAATACGTGATATTTAAAAAAATGTCTGCGTGGCGCTCGTCTTCCCGATTACGAATGGCCTTCTGGATGGGTTCCTTCAGCAGTTACGTAAGTGTGGCGTACTTATATTCTTATTAATGTATAGCAATTTTAAGACAGAATAAATATGCTTGTCAATAATAATAAATTGCAATAAATTGCCTTATGACCTTTGTATAAACTAAAACTTTCCTTGGAAACACCTATTTATCTAGTTATGTTTGCGACAAATACAGTGTGTTCAACCAGATCTTTTCATTAGTGTTCAAAACAGTTGCCAACTCGCTTTCGTTTTTAATTTTCAAGGGGAAAGTTCAAACGGTAAATAGTAACTAGGTACATACACACATACATTCATACTGACATATAGAGATACTAAATATGTGGGCACAGGAAAACACGTACGACAATAAAGAGTCAGTTTAAAACCGTTACGCAGAAGTGGGTTCGCATTACCAAAATGTTAAACCAATGACGTATTATATATAGACACGTCATGAACCAACATCGCGGCGCTTAAAAACGGCGAAAATACTAGATAACTACTTCTACGAGTAAAGAAAGAAAAAGAAAATATGACATCGTATAGTGGAATGCCTTTGCTAGAGGGAGATAAATATACATCTTCAGTTATGCCGACGGCACGTGACTATACCTTCATGGGCCGGCCGCCATAAGATGGCGGGCGCCGGCGTCGAAAAAAATAAAATAAAAATAGGTTGTTTGGTGAACTTACGCATGAAATGAAACATTTTTGTCTTTAACTTGGAGTATAATTTGTACATCGTCTGAACACACACGACGACATGCATTCTTTATGTTTCGCACAGGTTTACACACACGATATAAATTAAAAACAAACGTAGCGTCGCGCGGCAGGTTGGTGCGTAACTAAGCGCGATGTTGTCAATTGCCTTCATTTCATGTTGCCATTTTAGAGCGCGGACAACGTATCTATAGTTTTATACATCATTGTGTTAAACAAAACTTTTCTATACTGTCTTATTAAATATCAGAATATGAATTAATATAGCGGGTACAGAAATAACATTACAGGTGCCGTAAAACAAATCTCAAAAGAGTGTAGAGGTGAACCTCTCCTGAAGCTGTCGCGTTCGGCCGCAGTCGAGGTCATGGTGCAGAGCGAAAGGGACTGGGAAGTCATCTCTTTTTGCGAAGCAGTGAAGAAAAGGATGGAGCGCGTGTAGGAATTATTCTCCTTACGCCCCACAGTCGCAGTAGGCGACATTTCGGGCGTCGGGATTCGAAGTTCGTCGAGCAAGGTTAGCTCGCCGCTTTATCAGAACCGGACCCGCGAATCCGGCGCGTAGCATTCGGCGCTCGCCTTAAATATTCAAACCAATAGATCACCACAGATGTGGCACAAGAGAGCCGATTTGGCCGTGGTTGCGGCTCAAGCACAATTTGGTAAGTACCGCGGCCTCGGGCTGCTGCAAGAAAGGAAAACAAAGCGCGGGTCTGCGGACGGCGAGTAAGGGCAGCTCGCCGCCCGATCAGAACCAGACCCGACCGTACGGCGCGTAGCGTTCCGTGCGCACTTCAAAGAGCCAATAGACCACCACAGACGGGGCCCTATAGGGCTGATGTTCAGACGGGGCCCTATAGGGCTGATGTTCAGCCGGGGTTCAATGAAGCACCGCGACCTCGGCCCAGAGCAGGAAAAGGAACAGGGGGGTTTTTAGTCAGTAAAAGTCTGACACTGTGGGCGGGAGAAGTCATTTGATGATTTTCCCCTCACAAAAAAAAACCAAATGTCACCACATAACTATACGTTTTGTTTTGAAGATACTAATATTCACCAATTATATAACATAAAATACTTTCTTTTTCTGTAATGCTAAGAGCTATATTGTCGTGGTGCCCCGGAGGTTAAGGAGCCCACTTCTCATGCATGAGGGTTCGAAACCTGGCAAGTACCAATGTGACTTTTTCTGAGTTTTATGTACTTTCTATTATTATTTAGACACCAATGGCATACGATGAAGGTAAACATCGTGAGGAAACCTGGACTTAAATCATAAGTTTGAAATTGCGAGTGTACGATTGATCTACAAGATTTTATGTAGGCAATGCAACAAAAGTTACTCCGAAATCCCGCCGTAAGTCACTTCAAAAGTGAAGATTAACGTTTTCCTATAGGTACACAAGGCCTTTGCAAATGTAACCATGTCCTACTATCTTTGTCTCTTTCTATCGTACACGGTTTAAAAGGACGGAAGATGTATTGTTCTTAGTCGCGGGAAATCAACTGAGTCATTGCTCTGTATGCAAAGAAAACGACCATCGACAATACGAATGTATTTAGGTACAAGGATCTTTGAACTGTGATCTGCAATCTGTCTGTCAAGCGCAAGCGTAGAGATTTTGGGAAAACCTGTTATTTTTAAGAGAAGAGATTATAAGGATCTTTAAACAGATGACTTTTTGTTTCTGTCACTAAACACTTCATTTTCTTATGTGATAAGACGGCAAACTAGCAAACAGTATCTGGTGGTAAGCAATCAACCGCCGCCGCCCATGGACACCAAAAACTTAAAAGTTACGAGTGTGTTGCCGACCTTTTGGGGATACGGGATTGGGGTAGGGGAAGGATTGGGACTCCGGTAATATTATTCACACGACGAAACACAACGCTGTGGTTGTTTCACGGCGGTTTTCTGTGAGACCGAGTCGAACCCGAACCATTTGTGAAAACCTTACCATAATTTTTTTAACTTTCCTGACGATAATCAACACCATCATAAAACTTCCAAATCAGCTGGTGCTGATTGTAGAAGCCGCAAATCGCATATATCTTTTCGGTAATGCTAAAGAAAACACAAGGTTCGCTTCTGTGAGTGTTAGCGCAACAATCTTGAATATGAAACTCTATACTTCATTTAAAATGTTTCTTATGGGACAGGGTCTCGATACATGTGTTGGTATAGGCCGGTAAACGAGCCGATAGCCTTATGCAATCAGCGCTACCTACAGATACACAACAGCAAAGGAGTTGCAAGTGCATTGCCGGCCTTTTTGGAGTAAGGGATTCATACATTCGAACATATATTTTATAACACCATTTTATTAATTTTACTGTAATATCGAGTTAGTTTAATGATGAACTTTGAATGATTTGCCCGTTACAAAAAAGGACAACACCGATCTACATATCAAATTTGAGCCAAATAGGTCCACCCGTGTTAAAGAATAATAAACATTTACATTTATCATATTAGTAAAATTCTGATAAATAACTGTTCTATAGATACATTCTGCCCCATACACTATGATTCATACAGAATATTAACCAGCTCAAGACAACGGACGCGCTATAAATCGACCAGCTATTTATGCTGCTCCTCTATGTATTATTTATGAAGGTAACATAAATAGGTGTGGCGGCGTCATTTCGTCTACGATCTGGGTGAACCACGTAGCAGGTCAAACCTAGTAAGTACTTTAGTGAACTAGATATGTGCAGGCCTAGTTGAAAGTATCCGAGGCCTTTTGTTCATATAAAACAAAGACTGATTATAATTTAAGATCTTGTTTTGACTAATCTATTGCCTGCACAATGGAGAGTGATCCTAATAATAAGAATGACAATAGGCAATGAAAAGCAAAATATTTCGGTAAAACGAATTTAATGGCAGGAGTTGGAGGTCGCTTTGTCAACGTTCAGTTGTAACGTTCGAAAATAATCATACTATTCGAATCTTAACAATCTTCCTATTTCCCGAGAAATAAGGAGTCGGTTAAAAGCAAGTTCACTTAAAAAGAGTTTTTTCCAAACTGGAAAAAAAAGATGAAGTAAAGATCAAATAATTGAAACGATAACTTGTGACTTCATAAATAAATATTTGCGTTAAGTAGCATACTTTAGTTCTGAACAGTTGACAAGAATATTGACAAATCAAAAAAATTATATTATTGGATATATTAATCATATCGAATAACCTTTTTGCTACATTATCAGAAACCAAACAAGCCTCGTAACACTTAGTGGAAAGAATAACTGGTCGCTTTCGCCGTAACATACCATTACAAACAGACAGTTGTAGTCCAATCATTACAACACTGAAACATTGGACGCTGATTTAGACCAACAGCTATTCAGTCCGCGATTGCATTCATCTATTAATTATAAAAAAAAACGTAATTGCTATAATAATTTACATACAACCTGTTTATAAACGTCATATGTCATTTGACACGTTCCCGCGCATCGAACGCCAATCAGCGGCCAGTATTGCGCGGACTGCGTGCGCGTGCGCGCGTTCCACTTTCAAATTCAAAATCACGTTCGAAACAGCCAGTGATATTGTAGTGTTTAAGTTTAGTGTTTTATTTTTTGTTAAATTAAATATTATTGTGTTAAACCTTTTTGGTGGAACGGAATTGGAGTTTCTAATTGAAGGTTTGTTATTTAATTTTGTTTATTTGTGGTTTGTTATGTGGTAATGGTAAATCATTCCAATGTTCTTGCGAAATGTTTTTGTTGATATTAGTGTAGGTCAGTCGTATTTTATGACTTGTTTGGTAGCCTGTAGATACTATGTGATTACGAAATTTCAGTTACTTTATGTCAGAGATAAAATATTCTTATGGAGATTGGGAAATGACTCGTTATTGTTAACTTAAAACTGATCCTAACATTACTTAAACTCAACCTAGGCTACTCAATGTAAGTAGTTAAATCGCCTATGATATACTTATTTAAATAACTCACTAAATATGAATGTAAGTGGGCCATTTCATCTTCATAACGAGATGTACTTAAGTGATTTTTATGCAACATTTTTATTTACATACAAAAGACATCAACGACCTGACTGTGTGGTATAACGTTACAAATTGAGGAAATTATCTTCTAGAAATTGTTTTATTTCTCTTTACCATCATTTTTCCTGTTATTGAAAGGTTGAATTGGAATCTTTAATAAATATAAATTGAACGTTTAGAATATTAAGTACGTATTGGTGGTAAATATATCATTTTTCTATTTAAATTGGAAAGAGTGTGTATTAACACACAATATCAGACTTAAACATTACTTATCAGGCTGATAATGTCATTTTCATTCTAAAAAAACTTTGCCGATTTTCGTTTATCATTAAAAATGTCATCTAATCAATTATACCAAACACTGCTAGCATAACGTTACAAAAAATATCCATTCATAACATTGCATTAGTAATTACGCTATTCGATTGCATAAAACAAATGAAAATCGATTCTTTAATCAATCAATCCGTGTTTAGCATTATGTAAGTAAGTACTTTTAGTGCGTTGGCTATTTCTACGTCGCCAAACAAAAAATATAGCCTTTATCACCAGACCCCTATTCGGTGGTATTACCATTCAATAAATGAAAGCAATATCTACCTCACAGTTTACACTTTCTTTGTGAGGGTCAATAATCAAACATCAAATAACTTCTCTCAACTTCTCTGATTAACTCTCCCTGTATTTTATCCTGCTTTAGGCTGAAGCCACGGTACCTCTTATTGCGCTAGCCCTGCAACCGCAGCTGAACATCGGCCTTGTAGACCTCTCTATGGTGGTCTATTAGCTACTTCGACTTCTCTGACTAACCCCCTTGCTCCCCCCTGTTCCCTTATCATGCTTTAGACTGAAACCACGGTACCCTTATTGCGCTAAACCCGCAACTCCAACTGAATATCGGCCTTTTAGGGCCTCGTCCCCGTCAGGTGGTGTAAAAACGTGCGTCACTACACTACGTACGAAGCGAGTTTGTAGGTTATTGAATATCAATGGTGAGATGAAAAATACACTACTTTATGAATAGATTAAATTCTACAAATAATGGTTTAAATGGTTAATACTAAAAGATGATTTGTACATACGAGTTGACCGGCGATGGCGTAGTACAACTGAACGTAGAATTCGATGCATTTTATAAAAATGTTTGCACGTAAACTGCTGAGCTGTTCAGTTGCGTTACTCCGAACTGGTGGTCTATTAGCTATCACAGTGTACACTTAGAAATCATTTATTTACTCATTTGTACGCAACAGTCTGTAATTACGATTAGGTACTCTCATGGTGGATATGAAAGAGTAAATTGACGAAGAAAATAGTCATTGTGGTGGAAACATTTCAATCTTGATAATGATTGCCTTAATTGGCAATCGTTGGCAATAATTAGAGACTGATCGGATTAAGTGCGAATTATCAAAGATTATGACCATTTATTCCATAGCAAGTGTGATAGCTTTTTTACCAGCTTCCTACCGCGGCTTCGTTTGAGTGGTATGTTGATAAAAACTAGCCTATGTCCTATTCCGGAGTGTATCCTATGCCTGTGCCTAATTTCAGCCAGATCCGTCCAGCCGTTTTAGCGTGATTGAATAACAAACATCCAAACATCGTAACTTTCGCATTTATAATATTAGTAAGATTTTGCCCGGACAGGGTTGCCTCAGGCGTATGCGAGTATAGTCTAGTAATAACCTACCCAGGGCTAGGAGCAATGCTATAATATTCCTCAGTAAAAAAAAATTGTAACTATTATTAATAAACTGAGTTTCTGTGCATTCTTCTTCTTCTTGGACACATTCACAACAACCACACGAAATCTCAATAATTTATCAACCCCCAAACGAACGCTGGCGTTCGCGCACCTATTGTGCCTCCGCCACGGTTGAAAGGTTAAGTTGATATAGCATATCTACTTCTGATATTTTTTAATGGAAATATGCAAACCTCTTCTTGTTATACTCAAATTTACGATGACATTGTAGCACTGCGTGATGCAGCTGCAAAATAAAAATGGCGCCGCATTTTTGCGCCATACATGCTCGGGGAAGGATGCAAAGATTTCTTTTATTTGTATTCCGGGCGCGTCGGCAAGCATAAACGGTGACCGCTTGAATGCGTCTGTCTGTTCAAATCTGAAATTGATTTAAAATACAATTATAAGTATTACATAAATTATTTTTAGCTTCTATTTGAAACAATTATATGAAAATTCATTAAATTAGTACCAGATACAATGCATCAAAGACATAACATAAACTAATAGTAATAAGAAACAATGATAATTACATTAATTACTTAACATTTTATGTAGGTACGTAAATATAGGTATTTAAGAAGTCCATATTTCATTTAATTTCGAAAACCAGTGTGGGAGAGCCATACTTCGGCAGGAGTGGGTCGGCTCGACCGGAGTGATACCACGGCCTCACAGAAAACCGGCGTGAAACAACCACAGCGTGTTGTGTTCGCCGTGTGAGTGAGGTTACCGGAGGCCCAATTCTTCCCCTCCCCCAATCCCTCCTCAATCCCTAAATCTCATCCGAATAATCCGCGGAAATCGCACGATCTCCGGGGAGGCGGCGAACCTCCTTGCCGGATCACCGCCGTGGGATCTAGAAGCGAAGGCGCTCGCGCGCGTCTACAGTTTGCGCGCAGACGCGCGTCGCCGGGGCGAAGATCCTCTGCCGCGCCAAATTAGTGCGTGGTGGAATGAGCTCTGGCGAGATCTCATGGCAAAGTGGAAACAACGACTGTCGCAACCGAGGGCCGGGCACGCTACTATAGCAGCGGTAAGACCCCTCTTTGAGGGGTGGCTTGAGAGACGCCACGGCGTCCTCACCTTCCGCCTGACGCAGGTGCTTACCGGGCACGGCAGCTTCGGTAGGTTCCTGTTTCGGATCCAGCGGAAGGAAACGCCCGAGTGTCGTCATTGTGAGGACCACCTAGAGGATACGGTAGAGCATACGGTAGCGGTATGCCCTGCCTGGGCTGAGCACCGCCGTGTCCTCAGGGAAGTGATCGGCGGCGGCGACCTCTCGCGCCCGGCCTTAGTCGAGGCCATGGTGCGGAGTGAGACGAACTGGGACGCCGTCTCCTCCTTTTGTGAAGCAGTCATGCTCGCAAAGAGAGAGGCGGCCCGCGTGAGGGAGCAATCTTCCTCCTCACGCCCCAGCCGCCGCAACTGGCGACACTACGGGCGTCGGGGATCGAGGGACGATCTCCGGCCACCGTAAGCACGGGCCTGCGGTCGGCGAGTAAGGGCAGCTCGCCGCCCGACCAGAACCAGGCCCGAGCGTTCGGCGCGTAGCGTTCCGCGCGCGCCTCAAAGAGCCATTCGACCACCACAGACGGGGCCCTAAAGGGCTGATGTTCAGCCGGGGTTGCGGGGTAAGCGTAATGAGGTACCGCGACCTCGGCACAGAGCAGGAGAAGGAACAGGGGGGTTTTTAGTCAGTAAGAGTCTGACACTCCCTCCTGCCCGGCCCTGGGCGGGAGAAGTCATTTGATGATTTTCCCCTCACAAAAAAAATCCCTAAATCTCCAAATCCCTAATCCCTAAAAGGTCGGCAACGCACTCGTAACTCCTCCGTTGCGGGTGTCCATGGGCAGCGCTGATTGCTTACCTTCAGGTAATCCGTCTGATCGTTTGCCGACCTATTACTTAAAAAAAACCAAACACAATAGACATTACTCGTTTTGTAAAAAAAAAATCACAATGAATGTGCGTGATTGATGACATTGCTAGATTTTGTTAACAGTACTAAATGTAGCAACTAGCGGGCCTCATGCCACCGCTGCATGGTCCATACTGACCATACGGTAAGTACCGCAAATCCTCAACATACTATAGCACTTACATTACTTCATAACAAGTATAAAATTGGCTATAAATGGGAGTAAATCGTCCATGCTTTTGTATATTACATTAACGGTCTTATGTATTTGAGTGAACAAAGAACAAATGCGCGAGATTTTCTATAGGTCTTCGCTTTACTTAAAAATCTTTTCTATAATTACTTACCTCGCTTTGCAAGCGTGTTGGCTCGCAGTATTCGAAGGTTCAGGTTTGTCAGAGATCACTGTAACACTGTATCTTTATTGGTTTTATCGGTCGCATTCATATATGGTGCTCTAGATAGTCAGTTTTACCTAAAGAAAAGTAGATGTGCGCGCTTTTGTCACAAGTGAGAGGACAATAACTACTTACCTACTAAAAACCTTATAAATATTTCCTTATTTTTCATCATTATATGAGCACGTCTCAGCAGCTAGAGCTACTTCTAATTTTTTACTAGCTGTCCTCCCCTACTTCGTCTTGGTTTTCACATACCACAGCATCGAAAGGTTTTGCTACTCCCCTATTCTCCGTTCCTCTTTAAAAAAAACATAAATGTCTCCTGACAAAAACCATTACAATAAAAAAATTATTACCAAAATCGGTCCAGCTGTTTTCGAGATCTTAGCAACATATTTTGTGATAGTAGGTATTATAGAGAAGACAGATGGATGAGCATTAAACTTAGCAAATCAGCTAGTGATCTGGTAGTAAAATACATATTATAGACTAATACACTTTAACAGATTTTACCAACAATCCTTGCACAGTTCTTGACTCAAATCCTCGTTCCCTTTATC